ATATATATATATATATATATATATGTGTGTATGTTTGACACTGGATACATGTCATGAGAAACCATACAGAATATAATGTAAATATCGCATATTCATAAAATTATTGCAACAAGCAAAAGTCAAATTAGTTGAATTTATATAAACAAAGAAAATATACAGTTGCAAATAAAATTGTTTGCAAATTTTTATTATCTACTGCATATATATGCATTATTTTATAATGCATATATATATGCATATAGTTATATAAATTTTTTTTAGATCAAGATTCGTAATAGCTTTTCAAATCGGATGCTTTCGAAAATGGAAGCGATTCGTTAATCCGTCATATTCGCACGAAATTTTCTCATGATTCACAATTGTTCTCGCGTAATTATAACTTTGTAAAAATTATAACTCAAATCATTATGCGATCGATGTTTATACAATAGACATTTTTTTTTGTATTACTCATAATAATCTGTACTCATTATACTTCTTTACGTCGTTAACTTTACTTATTATCTGATTATTATGCTATTGCTTTCTATCCGGCCATATATGTCAGCATTGACATTTTAAAATGAAACTAAAGACTAACACCGCGATAAGGGATGCCTTCCAACAAGGCGACTCAGTACAACATGGTGATCCTCTTATCCTTGTTTAACATTGATAAACAATAAAAATGTAATGATGAACTGTGTCAAACCATGTCATGTGTGTTCTTTAATCGAAGGCACCCAAGATGCACTAGCCATTTTTTTTATTAGGTACAGCCATCGTGCCGGCTTATGCTTGACGTTCGCACACACAAAATGGCCGACATCTGTGCACTCCTCATCACTATTGCTACTAACGGTAAATTGCATTGCAATGGCGCACTTTTCATTTTGCAGGGGACCCACATTCGATGATTACATTAGCGCGTCCCATCAGCTATTTTAAGACTATTTATAACGCTTGCTTTGATACCTCTACTTGGAATGTTATACATATTATTACGTTGCTGCATCATGCTATTTACATTACATCACGAATTACAACGCTGTTCATTCAATTCGGAATGAACAGAACAGTAGAAAAAAAAATATATATATGTATTTCTCGTTACATCAATGTTTGATGTTTCCTATTATTTCCGTCTACTTAACTCGATTTGCAAACTTAATTCTATGTATAAAAATATAATAATCGAATATAACCTTACTTTCTATTCTCTAAATCAGAGTTTGAAACCGATCTTATTTCGGTGAATTCGAGTTTCGATATCGTCACAGAAAATCTTTATTAATATTAGTTACACAATAAAAATGCTGCATCAATTATGATAAAGCAAGGAATCCTTCCTTTTGCATACTTTTTGCAAACAGAAATCCAATTGCATCGATTTCAATCCCTGCTCCAAATTGGTCGCTAATGATCGAGATAGCATGGAACATTTCAGCAATATTGCAATTATATTTTTTTGTGGCATTTTGATGTCGCACAACGCGAGCATCTGATGTAACAGATAATTCTACATCAGATTTGTAATCTTTCGGCTAACAAAATTTGATACTTTGATAAAGCTGTTTCAATATACTTGGCTGATTGGGAATGTTCAATGCTACCTAGGAATTATTATTGTCAATTGCACGATTATTATTGCAGTACACGTGTATCCTCGTTTTCTGGCCTTTTAGAAACGATCCGAATACTGTCACGACAGTAGTAATAGCAAGTAAAATAGTGGCAAGACACGATTTTATCGCTTATCAAATTATCACATTCATCTTGATTAGCGATCAATCGTTATCTATACAAGTGAGCAGGCTTTGGCTAATGAACCACAACTAGAAAACGTGATCACTGCCGCGCCGTTAAAATACAATCGTATAAATCTGGATATTTTCGTGCTACTCCTCTCATATGTTGCACAACATATATCGATCTTTCATCTCTTTCACTTCATCTTATTTTTCTTATTTTTCGGATCAATAATCACATTTGATTCGACTAACATAATACGAGCTGTTTTGTTAATTGAGCAACAATTTTTGAGCAGAATCGTTGGCTATCCAACGGTGAGCTCAGTTCCCCAAGCTAGTCAGAAGCTGGTCTCGGGCTCGAGGCTGGGCTCCTGCTTGAAGTATCTGAAGTCCTGGTTCGGCGTGAGATCCCTCAGAATCATGACGGGCATCTGATCGGTTTGCGGGCTCAAGTCACCAGTGTTCGCCGGCGTCAAGGGACTGCTGGGACTCTCGTTGCTGCTCATGTAACTGCCCGGCGCGGTGTTCGAGATCGGTAAGGGAGTAGCAGTGCCGTTCATCTCCGACGTGGTACCGCCCAGGAATATTTCCTGAAGTAGATTATCGATGTGTGCTACACCGAACAGCCTAACGAACTGAATCTGCTCGACCATCTGCCATGAAATTGATTGTAGAGCTGGTAACATCAATAAAATATCGCCGAAGTGACCTGGTAAATCGCAACGGTGATCACTGATGTGATTCTCGAGCTTTATCTGGATGTTGTGGCGCAGCTCTCGAACTGTCTTCTGATCGCTCAGTCCTTTCGCGTCTGCAAAATATGGGGAATATATAAGGAAGAAGTATTATTAATTGTTATTAAATTACGATTGCCAACTCTTTGATTTTCAGCTGATTTTTTAAGGAATCTCCGATTCTACAGTTGATAGAAAAAAATCTCCAGCTAACCGCTTAAGATTTTAATGACTCTTTTTTTTTAGATGTATGCATTCATTTTCTCCGATTTGAAAAAGAAGAAAGCAGAGAGATCAAATAACAATGATTTTTATTTTCTTTTAAAGAATGTATTACAAATAACAATTTTGATAGCAATCGATTTTCGACAGGAGAACTGTCAATCTTTCGAATATTAATCGAAAAATGACAAACGTAATTAAGAGTTTAATCGCTACGATTCTCAACTTTGAATCGCGTTAATTATAAATTAACGTAATATTTGAATATTGAATAAAGATATCATGATGTAATACTAAATTAATCGGTTTATTAAATCTCGATTCATCAATGTGAGAGATACGCGATTTTTTCTCTCTGTATCACTAATATCTATAAATAAGTAATGATTTGCGTCGTTTATAAAAGCCTGGTGAAATCGCGAGACGTGATTGCCTCAACGAGACCGAATTGACCACAAGAACGTAGAGATTGTGGCGAGCGAATCGTATTCGATCTACATTAACAGCACGCATTTATTGCATCTATTGATAATATTTTCTATTCTATTTGATATTCCGCGTTGCAAATTGCGATCATCGAATTGTCACGGGGTGATCTTTCAAATTTCTAAACGGAACTCACTCGGATCAAAGAACACGATGGCTTTGAGAAAAGCGAACTCCGTGTCGTCGATCTTGATCTTCTGAAACGGTTTCACCAGCTCGTCCATCACCCTGATGCCCACCTTACTGATGTCCAGGTTGTCCTGCTGATTGCTTCCTTCTACAAATTGCAATGATATTACTGATAGACGCGATTACACCGTTGTTCCTTCGTTTATCCCATAGAAACTGAGTCCGGTATGGAACAAAAAAAGGAAAAAAGAATATCTGCACCTTGCAAATATTAATTATAAGTCGGTGCATAAAAGATTCGTTCCTCCGTCAAATTTCATAACAAATAAATAAAGATCTTATTTTTTAAATTTCTTGAAAGGGAATTGAAAAATTGAAATTTTTTTCCTGAATGAAAAAAGAGTTACAACTTTGCTACAAATTTATTTTTGATCTTATATTGATCTTATATGATAAATATGAATGGATAAATACTTAAGGACTTTCTGCATCAACTTATAATAGATATCGCCAAACCAAACATTGATGTTCATGCATTGACATGCATTTTAAAGTGACATACTCAACATACGAATTCCGGACTCAGTCAACCACCTAAGCCCCATAATCGTGCAACGAAAACAGACGAAACATTTAGTTAATAAAATAATAAATTATCAGCGCGTTGCGATTCATTATTATGTTATAAAATAAGCACAAATTTTCGCGATATGAATTAAGATTACGAATGTAGCTGAGAAAATTACAGACTTCTTTGAATATTAAGATTCAATAATTTGTTCAAATACTCGTTCTTTGCAGACACTCGTACTTTTGAGTAATTAATTATTCAGATCAACAATCTGGATCTTACTTACAATTTCAATTTAAATTTTATTATTGTTATTCCTCAGCGTAAAGTTGAAATTTAATTGTTGATAAAATATGGTATGATAAGATTTGCTTACTCGCGCATTTATCGTAATTAAAAAGATTTCGAATTTTCAATGAGTCGCTTTGCGCGTGCCCTCAACATCAAACCTTCTTCCATTAAGTAAAGTTAATAACAAAGAGAGATAACATATCGTCCGAAAATGTTTTACATTGCAAAATACGATCAGCTCGCAACAGATAGATGACATAATATGGCTTTCCTTTTATTGTCGCATAATATGACAACAATTTGTCCTCGTAAAGCAAAACATTGTTAAATTTTGAACGAAAAAAAAATATTGCATTACGAGAACCATCTGTTTTACAAAGTTATTCTGACTTAGCAATTAGATTGATACATTGTGATGATTACATGAAAGTATGATTTTGCTGAAATATCTAAACATTTGGCTGTATATATAAAAATAATTTTGTTAGGCTATTAAAAATAAAATAATTGCATAGAAATCTCAAGTATGATGAGCAAGATCACAAAAAATTTTGACATTCTAGCAGCTAGTTTAAGCGTCCTACATAATTATTTTGATGCTCCGCCAAAATTATTTTCAAATATCAATCTATATCTGTATTTAAATTTTTAGATACTTCAGCAAAATCTCTCTCTGTAACAATCAAACATGTCATCAATGTAAAAAAGTTTCAGGGGTTTAAGTAAAATTAATTCCCATTCAATGATTTCGTGCTTCTTATACAAAAACGCATAAGGCGGTTAGAATTACGTGTATATTTGTAACACATTAGATAAATCTAAAACTTACACTAATATGGAAATATAATCAAACATTAACATAATTGCAACATAATCATCTCAAATTTGATATATTCGGAAAGGAAATAGAAGAAAATAAGAAAATAGAGAAATTTTATATTCAAGAGATATTTTTATATCTCGCGACTCACCAAATAGATCCGATATGCGAGGAAAGACCTACGTGTTTACGATAAAATATTAAAATATCATAAAATATTATGAAATTGTTGGCGCGTTTTACGTATTTATTAAGAAGAAAACTATTTAAACGAATGAAAGCAATCGTTAGCTCTCTAACTGTATTTTTCATTCAAGAAACTCTTCTCCTTCTCTAATGGATGAAATCACTAATTAAAATTGATATGTGGTTATAGAGTTTTATTACGGGATCATGGTGAAACAGGATATAACGTTAGCGAAGAAAGCGTCGCGTCACGTAAGCGCTCAACTATCGAATAAATCGTGGTATCAGCGACACATATACATGAATGACGAAATTACGTAAGCGAAAAGGTGAAGGTTGTCATCGAATCGGCTATTTAGAAGAAGAGATTCTCTTTCAAGCATACACGATTCTTGAGAAAATATGTTAACACAGACTGCGCAAAAGGACGCTCTAATATTGACGACTTTTGATGATGGTAGTCAAGATATCTTTGTTCGCTTGATAAGAAACCATATTCATGCTGTTGGA